TCGTTCAATTTGTCTTCATTTTCGTGTTCTCGAGTGAGCTTCTGTTAAAAATAGTCGAATAGTTGCATGTGGGGATTCGTAGTAGTCATATTCACAACTGTCTCTGTCTCAATATTTTGAAGCTCACGAACCAGCGCCTGGCGTCTGCTGTCTCCAACTGGAAGGTCAACACATATATATTTGCCTACCATTTAGTGACAGGGTTCTCTGCTACCGAGCGTTTACTAGCGTTACAGGTGGAACTGGCGATCCGGAAAGTCGGTGTGCCGATTTTTATGTTAAATGAATAAAGCATTTTGCCGCCGATAAAAATATACTGGCCACCATCGCCTTTATTTGTGCTTGGCTCGTTGCTGTTGTCGATTGCTTCTGTATATTTCACTATGTTATGATGGTTTGTTATAATGCCGATAAGAAAATGCTCGATGCGAATGAGAGTGGAACTAATAGCTCAAGACACCATGAATATTTGTCCAGAAAAGGTGCAATATAAGGGAAAATATAAAGCGCAAATGAATGAAGAATTAGCTAAGGAAGACTTTTGGGTTATTGCGTGAGGGTGACTAATTAATAGATACGTTCTAAATGGCGCACAGTTTGGATATGGTCATTTGATGCCCTTTCATCGATTTAGGCCAGCCAAGTTCTCAAAAAGGGACTATGTCATCGTGTTCGAAGCCCAGCAAATACTTTGAAGCTAACAAGCAGATAGACAAAGATATGGAAGCTGTAATTGTTAATAGCAATCGTATCCTTTTTTTTATCTTTATATGTTTCCTTATATATGAATAGATGTCATGTGAATCGTTTCTCATATAAGAAGCGATTCTTCTTAGAATGATTGTCTGGTTGTGTAAAAAAGTCCGTTCATTCTTAGCCTGACATATTTTTTCTGTTAAATATTCACTAATATAGGCAGAGAGTGCACAAATTCAAGGCACTATCGTACGACATTCTTGTCGCAAAAAGTTTAACCTGTCGGCCTTTTGAAACTAGGCAAAAACTATACGCAAACACAAACCACAAATCAATGAATCGTACCTTCAGACGTTGAGGCACGTTTGCAGGGAATACTATACCACCAGCAACATATAGAGATCGGCAAGCAGTCTCCCCAAAACGGTCTCTGCCAGTGTTGAGCTACAAACGTGATTATATAAAAGGCTAAATGAGAGTTTTAAAACTAAGCTTGTTCATACAGCTGAACGATAATAACCTAGGTCATTACTGAAGTGAGGCAAACATCTGTTAAGTCGTTCCAAAAGCTAACCGAGACTAATTCGGTGTTTATGCTAAAATTGCTTAAGTGTTTGCATTCTACTAATTTCCCCTTAAACTGTAAGATATTCCCGATTGCTTTCATACTTCTTAGAACAGATTGTTAGCCCATGTACTCATCTAAGCCCCATGTCATCCATGGTATGTGTTATCTAAAATCCAAGGTCGGTATAGAGTGGCAGCATATTCAGTAGTGATCAGCAGCTCGATACCTGAATTTCAGACGCTGTTCTTATTTCCTTTTTTTTTTAAATTTTTTTTTATTAAATATTCTCTCTCAGCTTAGCGCACGTGATTGTGTCCTTACGTATTGAGCTCATGACCTATGCATCCGTCGTTGAGATCCGCTTCTCGCGACATGTCGGCAACGGCGCGCCGATACCGTTTAGATGACGAGTGCGATTCGGTAGTTTTTGTTTGCATTTCAGCAGCGTCGGACAGCTCAAGAAGCCAAATAGAAGCAGCAGCGGCCGAAGAGGACAGCAGATCAAACTGTAAACAGAAACAGCCCGTAGCATCACGCAACCCCCGGCCGATCGTATAGAAACAATAAATTTTCCTCCTTCGCTGACTTCGCGGGCGTCTGCTGCTGCTACTACTCCCGCTGCAGTAAAGAAATATCATCGTAGAGGCGCAACTCGCTTTTAAATCAGGGCGTACAAGCGAGCATCTATTTGTCAGAGGAAGAAAAAGTTCTATATCTTCATGTGTGTATACGTACGTTTATACATATATATACACATCACGCATCCCCTTTTTCTAAGTGTAAATCAGTCGTTTGTGGGTGTTACTGATGCTGGCAAGGTTACGCAAGCAGCTGACGTCAGTTATAGTAAGCCTCGACTTGTTGGTGGCTAAACGGACATACAGGCGACGAGGACGATCTATTTTATTTATTCAGCTGAAAGTCATTACTCAGAGCAAAAGTGTATATGAGTAATCGTATTTGTCACGACGGCATTTTACATCAAATCTTCTAGACTATGTAGAATTAATTCTGTTACATTTTTATGGAAGCTGACATTTTTTTATAGACCGGGGTTTGTAATGTGATTATGTAAGCTCAGAATGAAATCGTAAATGAAATGTTTATTAGACGTATTCCCGATTGAACTGAGAATTGAACGTTCTTTCAAAATTGGGCTTCTCTTACATATCCTGCGGTTACAGTATAAAGAGTGGCGTACTGATTATTAGGGTATTTTCAGCTATGTATTTCAGGTCTCAAGTGGCCATTTTAAACACGAAGGCTTGATGGACATTACATTCGATCGCCTATCACTAGATTTATAAACGTATTATGTGTATACTATGCTTGTATCATTGCTGTATTTTATATATATTCCTTTTGTATTTTCCAAGAAAAACCTACAAACTCATAAACAAAGGTTGCTTCTAATATATTTTTGCCGATCAAGCAGCGATATGCGTACGACTAAAGACACTTCGCTATCGTACATCGCGTTTCAGAATAGAGATTTGTGAAACTCAGTCTATCGTTACTTGCACTTCATGTTGAGTGCAACGACTGGTGTCTAAAATTGAGAATCGTAGCCTTCAACCCCGATGTCCTCGTGTTACGTGTGTGTCATCTTTATTCATGAATATGTTAATCATTAAAGACTGAACCGGGGACAAAGATCGCCTTTACTAGAACTACTCTGGTAAACGGTGAAACCTGCTTGGATAATCAGCCTGCTTGCGTCAGCACGTGCATCTGCACGCAGAAGATCGATGAAGTTGGGCAAACGTAAGATGTGCTTCTCGACAACGCTAGATATTGTCCTGTAACAGTGAACGTAAACAAGGTTGCAGGGCGAAGAGGCACGATATATTCTTATATACGTTAAACATTCCGATAAAGTGCACAAATTATATGGTTCTGGCAATAGATGGCAAATAAGACGGTTAGCTATATTTAAGCTCAACTTTAGAACGGAAATGCTTTTTACTAACATATCCCATAAAATTCTACTGCCACATAAGTTAATTGTTTTAATTTTGTATCGTATTTTTTTGTTTTTTTCCGTATACGTCTTTTAACAACTAGTAGTAGTGTTATTATTTTTATTTCAATATTTCTGGTTGAGTTTTGTACTCTGTTTATTATAGTTTTATAATATTGTTTTGCTATCATGTACCTTCAAAACAGCAACAGGTTGTATATATGTACGTATAGTTGCTCCGATCAACTAGAAAACCGCTTCACTGGTCTCTGTGGTCGTCGCGTGCACGCCCAAGTAGAAAGATCTTCTATAAAAACAAGACAGCTGGGCTGTCTTTTTAAAAAAAAAAAAACTATTTTATCAATTCGGAAAAAAACTGGGCGAAAAACGACCTTTTTGAGCAGTTCTCCCAACAATGACTAGAAATTTTTGAAGCGTAGGTTCAGTCCACGAATGATATTTTCAAAAAACGATTTTTCTTTTTTTCTGTCATAAAGTCAAATATTCTATTGTGGATGATTGATTCCAAGAAATGGTTCAGAACTTTTATAAAGTATGGGTATATCTAGAGAATATATGGACTGCCATCAATATTTGAAAACTTCACTTTCTTACTGTTTTTAATCGCGAAGGGTTGGCAGGTCCTCGGTAGCACAGTAATCATTTAATGACAATGCTATAGGTGCCTAGGATAATTAGAACACAACCGTAAACTATTCTAATTAGAATAGCGAAGTAGCGGAATGAATTGGACGATGTAATGCCTCTCCGAAAACGTGGTAATGGTAAAACTACAAGTAGAAATGCGCAATGGAACAGACACAATCTGGCAGGGTGATAGAAAAATAAATTCAGATTTACGGATCAAGCTCAAACTATGTAGAGCTAAACTAGTTTTATAGTAGATCGAAAAAAAACAAAATGTTTAGAAGCGTACCGTATATGTGCATAGTGTAGACCATACATAAAATAAGGGATGTATATATATATATATACATTTTTGCATTTACTAAAGGCAGTAAACCATCATCCATCGTATAGTTTTTGGGCTAATAACAGGCCTATGCAAGGGCTAAAAGTGACCAAAACATTTGAGCGCTTTTTTTCTGGTACAAAAAGTCAATGATACCGGATGAACGCATGCTTGCCCCGACTTACAACCCACTGAACTCCCAATTTAGGTATATATATACATGTACATATGTATATAATTTCTAACTAACATTCTAACTAAATAACAGCCTTCACAATATATGGTCGACTTATCATTGGCTACCATCTTCTTCAACTAAACACTACTAACCATGCTGCGTACACGCAGCATTCGCATGCTCCCGTGTCGCTACGCCTTTCGCATGACCAGCGGTATTGGGTCCTTCAACGTCCCCCTGCTGGCTACTTCCTTAGCGACTCCGTTGCAGTCCTCCAACAATCCTGACGCTTTCCTCCTCCTCCGTTCTCGTTATAGTAAATACCAGACACCTTTTTACGGTCTGTATCTGGCTGCATGCTCCCCCGTACGGCACATGTTTGCTTTCCCTTGTGAGTCACGCCTCCTTCCGTCAACACTAGTCCCTCGCGGCCGAACTCTTTCTTTCGTTCCTAGCTTCGCGCCGGCAACGACGTGGACCACGATCTGATCCGAGAGGTCTTCCTCCTGCAACGATCTGGCTCCCAACAGGCCTGCCTTTTGCGACAATCTGGTCCCCAACCAGCCTGTTCCTCCAAGGATTTTATCGAGCTCTGATTTTTTTCCTGATGCTGGCCAATTTCCAGGTATCGTGACTTGCTCGCTTCTACAGGTTTAGTCAGGCGCAGACTTCACCGCTGCCATCAACTTGTGAAGGACCAGGCCGTTGATCGGAAACCTACAATATATCAGCCGGCGGCTAGGGGTACGATACTTTTAAGAAAAGTGTTCAGTGTATACATATATCTACTTCATAGGTCTTGTGATATTCGGCTCGTCCTGAGTAGTGCTTATTCATTCGTCGTATTTTAACTGCTTCTTGAATCGGTAGCATTTTTGCATAAGTTTAATGAGGGAAGAACTTTTATTAGATGCGTCATATCATGCCACGACTATCTATTCATATTCAGACAGAAGCCAGGACAATGGGACTAGTGTCTATTACTTCTTTATTTTTTATTTATTGAGTACACACATATTTTTATCAAATATCTACATGGACCAATATCCTAGAATATAATATTCTCGATAAAATATATTCATGTTCTAAATTTATAGGTGAATGGATTAACTCACATGGAAGGACCTCGGTTCGGTAGACGACTGTCAGCAGTGATAGGAGTTATTTCTAACCTATCTGGGCGGTCAGCACTACCTAGCAATAGAGACAAGTAGGCATAACTGAATGGACTAAAAAAGATATTATTACATTAGTAAATTCGAGCCCGTACTATCGTCATAACCTATGTCACTGTGATCCTACTATATTTAGGTTTGTGCAGTAGCTCTCGCTTAATAGGATCACACTCCGTGCCCGAAGTCTAAGTTAAATGAGCATTTCACATAATTTCTTAATGTTTAGCTGACGTGAATGCGTACTATATTTCAACGCCAAGATCAGTAATGCGGATAATTAACAAAGACGTTTAAAATGCATTGGAAAATTATGGGAAATAAGGCTTTATCCACATATGTCAATGGGTGTCCTTTGCGAGCAGCGGAATTACTTGCTGTTGTGGTAGAGCCCGAGGTGAGTTTAGTATAAGCATAGTGATATCTTCGAATACTAGTATCGTAAGGTTTCTTATAGCGGGCTGTCCAAACTCGTCATAAACTTTCTGAAAGGGTTGGATATCTGGGTACTATCAACAGAGAATAATGTTCGCGGGCGACCAATAGAGTCGGCAGAAGCGTAAGCTGCTTGGCAAAAGCAATCCATTTAGGCATCCCATATGAAATGTAGGTCTTATTCGTCCACAACATAGGCACAGCAAGACTTTCTTGAGTCTACATAAACTTAGGACTACCCCATCCTTGATAATTGTCTGTCTAGAACAAAATAAAGTTCCAGTCTCGTAAGTGCACTAAAGTACGTAAAAAAATGACCTAATCGCTAATGACCTCATAGTAATTTCTGTCTGGTATTAGTAGAAAAGACATGCTTGAAACAATGACATTATTGGACTTAGAAGGAGCATCCCTAGTCATAGATAACGCATGCTACGTTCATAAAAATGAACAACCGCGAACTAAAGGTGCTCAGAATGAACTGGCACTTTGAGGTAACTTTTCGCCCCATTCCTTGGGACATTCAGTGGTAGACGTCGGATTAAGTACTGTTGTAGAAAAGCGGCTCGTTTGCATCAAGTGAAAAGGTGTCTGGTTGTCGACGTCACTGATTATCTTGCAAACCGATAGCATTACGAGTGTGCGCTTTAAGTTCGCTGTGCAAGCCGGATATTTGATTTGACTGTATTAGGAAGCTGTTGCGTTCTTCCAGCTGGGAATTGCATATCAGCAGCCTCTGTCAATAGATGGGAAACAATGTACCGGTTTTCTTTCTATCTCACGGTTTGGCTGTTGAAATCACAAACGGCCAAATTTAATTGCTGAGGTCATCGTTAGATAGAGATATTGCTCATTTGCTCAAATTTCGCATTTTTCATTATAATGTATTCAATTGTTAAGATGAGTAACCCACCTGTGAAGTCCAGTTACGATGCCGAGCGTCCATCGTAAACAATTCTGCTTGTTCTATCGTATATATATATAATTTCCTTCGTTCGATGACTCCCTACATAGACGCTTATCTCTGACTCTCATGAGCGTATCGAGCAGGCTCTCTTTGCTGTAAAAAAGCCTAAAGTACGTGCCTAAATTTCAAGCTCTATAGTCGGTTGCAAGCTCTGACCAAATACGATTTAAATTGCCCGCGTTTTACTCGTCATTAAAAACGAATAAGTTGTAATATTATTTTACCAGGCTGACCGCGTACTGCTAAATATTTAGCAGAAACTCCATTTCCAAATGCGATCAACGATTGTCTTCTTTAATATAGTAATTCTTTCGTGGTTTGCCATTAACTGCTCTTGATGGTAGGCGTGCGTGATTGAACGTATATTTCTATGTACAGTTGCAGACGTGAAGGAATCATCTAGCTTTTTCTACGAGTAATAACTGGATTAAGCGACCTCCTTATTTTGAACATATTTTTAGTTCAGATACGTTGCATATAGTATTTGAAATATGACGGCGCGTGAGTATAGATGTGATTATTTTCACCCCTAAAAACTGATGCTGGTGAAGATCAGGTAGAGCGAAAATAGTCTCTAACCATTTTTAGCGCTATATAGATTACGCTTTTCATCATTACTAAAGATGTATATAATGCGTTTTGAAGTAGAAAGTCCCTTCCGTTTTACCCGATCGTATTCATTATGAATGGTACAAGGCACTGGCAGCTGGAACATTGCCTTATTGAAATCCCTTTGTCATAAAATAGATTTTAGTAAGCATTGTGGTTACTCAATATTTAATGGATTTGAGATGGCTGTAATTCGCTATCGACAATTGGTTCTTTAGATGGTCTGCATCCTAGGGATAGATCCAGTTTTCTTGCGGTTAAGAGAAGTATTTTTCAGATCAGTCGCGTTTTTTCCTCTTTATGTCGTGACCAGACCATTGCAGATTTTCGCAAAGACCATCGAGGTTTCATATGAAATCTGAGTTTGTAAGATGTTTTTTCGCCTGGCAAAGTCCTGACCTCTAGTAAGCAACATTTTGATACTCTTTTAGAGACAAAACTCTTTAGTGAATAGTATTAGGAGGTTTCTTTATTGAAATGATAAGCAGCTGGGTTCTAAAAAACGGACATAAAAAAATAAGAGTATTCTGGTTATGCTTGGGGAAAGATCCCAAGGCGTCTGAATGGTGAGTTAAATAATCTATAACACAATTAGCTGTAATATCGATTGACACAATTAGGCTACCACAAAGTTTGACAATTTCATATAAATTGAAGCCATACTAAAGAAAACTGACAGTGCCAACAAAATCAGTGCAAGAGATTATGGAAGCACATCGCAGTAACTACTAAGCCTTGAGCCTTTTGAAAGATTAGCTCGTAAACCCCATCAGAGCGTCAATACGAAGTAGATCTAGTATTTCCTAAGGTGAACGCCTTAATCTGATCTACTTTATGATACTGACTAATTGGGGTTACTTAGCGTTGACGGCTTTTCCAGAAATGCCCATCTTGCTTGCAATGTTGAATTGTGGCTATTTTACATGGCGCGATGAGTTACGCAAAATATAATCCAGTGTAAAAAACATGTTATCTTTTAGTCTAGGTTAACATTTAGCTAAAAATAGATGCTGTTCCTTCTTTTGTTTTTTTTTGATAGGCACTTCTGCTAGGGTTCGGACAAATTGAGCGCGGGTTGTGATGTGAGCCAGAGAACCTCTAACAGGGCTCACAAGGCGCTGTCCTCGACTTCAAAGGAACGAGCAGGAGCGGATGTGCCTACACTAAGAAAGGCGAAAAGAAAGGTCTATTGCAGTATAGTGTAACGCTACAAGGCGCCTGATGTAGGGGCAGCCTGGTGGGGCCTGCGATTGCCCTAAAGTGTTGGGGTCTTACCCCCTGGTACGGTTAGTAAGTGGGGCGGGGCTGTTTCGTGCTGACGGTTGCATCAGTGTGATCCGACCAGGCCATGCGTGCCTTCTTCTGCCATAAATAGAGAGATTTCACTGGCTCGATCAACTAGCTACCCTATCCTGTGACCTACCAAATGAAATAAACAGGTACGACTTTTTTGCGGGCCGACGTCAAACCTAACTTCAACGCATGTTTTCCTTAACGTATCGATAATTTCGTGATCCTTCCTTTCTATTATATTACGATGTTTCCTGGTAGACTTCATCTGGGCGAATAATAAACTTAGTTGTCTAGTTCTTTCTCGTTGGGCCTTCTCGAAGCAATCGCGCTACGAACGACGACCCATCCAACATCCCCCAAGCTACCTCCCCGACCTGCGTAACCCCAGAGCCCTTCTCGGCTGAAGCACCGCCGTGATGCAGTTGTTAGAGCGGGAAAGAGGAAGTCTCGTTCTTGTAGTACTGCTGGTACCGCGACTGCTACCAATCGTATACTGCTGAATGGGTCGGTCACCAGTTTGCCCCGACCAACCAAGCCGGCTCAGTTCACCTTAGGGCAGATAGGCCTTTTGGTTGATCGTGCTTGTGTGTGTGTCCCCTGGATGGAGAACCTACTATGAGAAGAAGCAGGAGCCTAATCCTGGACCCGCAACACACGCTCGGCTCACTTTTCCTTGCCTTAGGTGGGGTGGTTTGCTATCAGAGTTGAGTTCTTTTTCGATAGCAGTAACGTTAGGCGGCATCGGCGCATTGTAAGAACGTTAGCGTAAGGCGAATGTTTAGAAATATGCTGATAAGGCGGAAAATAAGTCTGTCATTTAATTTTCTGGCAAGTTTTCATTAGGACAAAGCGTCTATATATTGAACTCGTGCAAGCGTTCAGAAACTCAGCAAGGCACAATGCAGTTTAGGCTCGTTATACTTCTTCTTTTGTGCGAATTGAATCTGTTAAGGGTGCCTTTAGGAAGGCGTGCTGTGGTTATCCAGATTAGCCCTTTTGTTTATCACCTAATTTACCCAATAATTGTCTACTAGCTTCGTATAATTAAGTGTAGGCTAAATTGCTATCATGTCCACGGAAAGTTATTTTTGTTTACCGAAATTTACTTGTAACAACTTTAATCACATGACTACAGTGTACTAATAGGAGTATACTCTGCATACATAAATGTTCACTATTAATTTTCTTAGAAAACCATATATTCACGCAAAAACTAAACAAAGCAACGTTAAAAGAATATCAAATCAATGAAATGCATCAATTAGAAATCGGTTCGTATAGAGCAGCAACTTGAGTAATTCAAACTGCTGCTGTATACATGATTGGTAAGTTAATGGATTTATCATTAAGTATGAACCGGTATTCTTTCAAAATATTTCTGCCCAATTCATTTCAGCGTCTTTGGCGACGCATCGTTTTGCCCTCATGTGGGAGTGTTGTAAAAGTCCAGAAACGTTCCAATTCCTTCTTCAACAAGGAAATGGCTCCACAAGGTACAAACTAAAGCTGTACACTATTCAATGCCGAGTCGATGCAACAAGAAGCACTAAAAAATGTGTTTTGTCCGTCTGTGAAGGATACAGAAGCACTGATACATCCTGACGGTATTTGCCCACCTTTCATTCAGTGGGACATCTGCGATACGGATCACAGTTTGCGCCTGGGCGATTCCCGGCTAAGGAATCGGCTAAGTTGAAGAAGTCGAAAATATCTGCTTTTTTTCGCGCAACCTGAGCTACTATAGAAGCAGTCTCATCACCATCCTCTCTAGATATTTGTTGACGTCTGTGTTTCTATTGACACAGAAGGCGTGATTTATTTCTCTTCTAGTCGTAAGGACTGCTGACGATTTTTGCTGGGAGCAATGGCAGCAAAAGTCCTCTGTGGTGGAGCGTATCCTCAGAAGAGAGCAAAACACCTTCATAATGAGGTATCCACTTCCAATCCGAGGAGTTTAAACGAATTGGAGAATTCGTAGTTGAGAGCTATATAACCGTTTTAATGAAGCGTTAATACGTTCGTCTCTGAGGAGAACATTTGTAGCTCAAGCGAACAAAAAAGGAGAGGGAAAAAAGTAAGCTTCTTCAGACAGTAGTAAAACATGCCGCGTACATGGTTTGCGACGACCTACATTATGAATATAGATTATTTATATTACTATATAGGCTATTATTGGACCTCCACAAAAGACCTTGCAATAAAATACGCAAATAAACTGCAATCATGTTAGCATGGCGAAGACATGTAACAGATCGCAGCGTTTTGGTGATGTTTGACGCATGCTGATTCGTGCTAACACTACAAGCTCAATGAAACCAATCTAGACCACAGTGCAACCTGTCCTATCTATAGGTAGAAAATAAAATAGTAATTAACTAAATTAATAGTAAATCGATTGCTTTTAAGCGGAAGGTTTTCAGTTGTAGATATTATCTACCTGTTCTTATTACTTGCTACGTCTTGATCTAATCATTTCGACTGGTGCTTTGGCATAGCCATTGTACACTATACACATTTAATTATCAACACTATCACTGCTTCGTTAGTTAGCTTAAGGGAACTTTTTCATTCTATGGCCTTGCTCAACTAGAATATGGCCGCAGCTAGATAGAGCTAGATAGAGAGCTTTTCATTCGCTTCGCTTCAAAAAGACAATGCCTTTTCGAGTGGTATACTTTCTGTCCATACGAGCAAAGGTCGTGCTCGCCCATTTTAAAAATGGTTCGCTTGAAAAGTAAGACAGTAAATGATTATGGAAGCAGGCTAACTTATTTGTATATCTACCAAGCTACTATATTATTTTACGTGTTCGCGCAGAAGCTTCCGAACGACCTGTGAAATCACACGAATGGCATGTATAGCTTGAAAATTGTTTTTGACAAAAATCTTCACCAGAACACGACAATCGTTGTACGCTAAACAGTGAGTCATTTGCGCAAATTGTGTATGAATTCTCAACTTTTTACGGATCTTTACCTGCGACGTAGTCCGATGAAGTAAGAGCTTAACACTGAATTTTACTCGGCAACGGTAAGGTCGTTTATCTATAGCTTAAAATCGTTTATTAGAGCAGGAGAAATGGCCATATGGTCAGAACAACTAATCCACCTACATAGTTAATCATAAGAAACCAGGCTATTTTTCTGTTCTACTCGTTTTTGAACAGTATTTGTACGCGTTTTCAGAAGGCCATTGTGGTGCCAACAACAATTAATAGAGAATTTTTTATGAAGAAAAAAGGTATCACGTTATCAGTATATATTCTTGCCAATGCAATCAGCTAAACTGTGTAAGCGGGCACTTTTCAAATCCACTTAATTCCTAGCACCTTAATGTAGCATCTTTAATTTTCTAATTCATCTAAAATGAATGTTCGAATAGCTGCCGAAACTACGATTTTCCATGTCGTGTGCACGCGTCGATTTCGACGCCATTTTAACGTGCATTCAAGCTCAACCAAGATATATTAGGTCTACTCTGTTGCTGTGATGCTACTGCTTTAGTTTCCCTTTTTTGTCTTTGTTTCCTTTATAATAACATAAAATTCTACTGTTAAAAGCAAGAGGCAGACGGATAGATATAGCGGAAAAGGTTAATCACAACGGCTGGTAAAAGACATACGCTACTTGGTGGTAACGCCAACTTGATTGACTGGACATATCTACATCTAGATTCTATACAACTAATGCGGACGGGTATCATACTAAAAAGTATGATATTCTGTAGCGTACGTTCATATCTATTGGTTTTTGCATTGCATTGTTGTCTTAGAATCTGTAGAAGAACAAATACGAATTTAACCGGCATATCTAGATAATTATTTTTTTGCATTGTACTACCATATCATAAGATAGCGACCCTCGGCCTTCAACGAGACGACATACGTATGGTCCTACGCGTTCAGTTAGAGGATTGCGTTGACCTGATGTCAGTTAACACCTCTTTAAATCACCAGCGTCGATCACTTCATCTGCGCTTAATAGATTGTTATATACAACTAATTTCATGTCTTGCTCTTCGTACGTTGCGTATACTGCAAAAGTCACTCGTGCAATAGAATTTCTGACGTAAATATTGCCAGTTTATTGTTGGTTTAAGTGGTCGAGCTGAATATTGAGGATGTGTGGCCACGTGTGAATATAGTAACGGTGCTGCCAGAAGATATCAGGGAATAACGTTAACAAACTTCAGTCCATACGTGTGTCGTCTCTCTTTTTTCTATCTAATATTTTACGAGGTTTGCGTAGAAGGAACACGCAATCGTTATTTGCAGCATTGATATAAAGTAGCAGTATTTGACTAAAATTATTCAGCCCGGAACTACCGATGTTGTATAGTTAACTCTGTCAGTTGTTTAAAGCAATGATATAGATGGCTACATTTAAGCCGTATTTCCCAATGGAACTGACCCAAGTCGGATAATAACTAACCCAGTTTTGGTTACGCCTTACGCCGTCGATATGATTTACGATACGAGATACAATGGCTCAGTTGATGGTCGTTTGATGACTACCAATTAGTCAGGATCAGGTTGATGCTGTTTCTTTAGAATGTAATGGTACTTCACACGTCAAATACAAACGTATGTGCCTAGTCGGAATGATTAGGTGACACATTCTCGAAATAGACACAAAAAAAAGTAATACCCTCATCGTCAAACGCGTTAGTACAGCATTTTTGTGCTGACATGTCCCAATGATCTGTTTTAGATGTGTATTCAGATACGTAACCCGTGTCAAATTGCTAGGTTCCATTACGTTCTACTCTAAAAACTTTTGTACTACGTTAGTTGAATTTACTAGAGATTGCTGATGTTTGCGCACATGCTCAACGGCAATACGCATCAATCCAACACTTTTCTATAGCGCTTATATAAGGAGGCTTTATTTTTATGTCAGATATATGTTTTCATTTAGTAGTAAGTTGGAATGGTGCACGGGGGCATAATGGAAAGACTGCAAGCGGACTTGACACATTGTCGGGATTTTCTTCTAAGGAAGATAGATCCACCCTGTACTCGACTTTCATTTATCGTTTAGGATCACTACTGGGTTGAATAGCATCGTTGCCGTAGGTCGAGCTTTACAAAATCGCTAAAATATATGCCACACATCTTTTAGAGATACCGGCGTCGTACA